CCTATCTTACTTCTGATCCCTACTTTGTAAACTGCAGAATTACACACACTGTTCAATGTAATTCATGGGGAAAAAAGTGTGAAACAGGAATAAATTACAACAGTTTTCTGAGTTGTTGTTTTTTTGTTTGTTTGTTTGTTGTTGTTTTTTGAAAATATCATCCCAGAGGCCTTGCTAGTAGCTACACCATGCTACTACTGATATAGCTCTCAGGGTTACAGAGACATGAAAGCTACTCATCTACATCAAGATGGGAAAGAATTTACAGTGCTAATATGTGCCTGTTGGGGCTTTGAAAAATATTGGAATCCAAGAAAATCTCAAGAATCCTTAAAATCCAGACTTATAGTGCAATTGTTCAATCTATTATAAGTATGTGAATCCTAGATGCTAACAAAGTTAAATGGAAAAAGGCTACAAGTGTTTGAAAACAAACTACTAAGGAAAATATTTTGTGTAGTACAAGAAAACAAAGTATGAAGGCGAAGATATAATGAAGAGTTTGAGGACCTTTACAAAAGATCTGATCTCTTAAGCAACAGGCTTATGAAATGGGTACAGAGGATGAAATGGAAAATACATATCATGAGAAACAATGAGAGAAGGCATGAGAGACAGATCTTGGAAGCTGAAGTACTGTGAGGGTTTGGTACAGATGTAGGTGGCCAGGCTTGCAGGTAGGCTTTGAAGGCAAACCAGTAGGTCTGCTGGGTGTGCAGATTTTTAGTTCCAGCTAAAAATCTTAACTCGGGTATCATGCATAGTTTTAACTTTGGTGTACATTAACAGTGAAATGTTGAATGCATTGTCATAATGCTCAAGAAGGCTAGATTTTGTATTACGAATCCAAGAAAGACATCTACACTTGATGATTGATAGATGGATAGATACTATCTAATCTATCTGCTAAAATTGTTTTATGGTCACTGTTTTTATTTTGTCTGAGTAATATACCAATTAGGCAGGGGAAGATTGCATACATGGGGTTTTCTGTAAGGATAAACTCAGAAACAGCATACCATACACAGTGATAATGTTAACTTCCCACATCAGTCACAAAACATTTTCCTCTTTAGGATGAACATTTCTATACTTATTATCTTCTTGCACTTTCTACCAAGTCTTCCAAAAAAGTACCAAGTGTATTTATCTATACACTGATTTGAAGTGTGTAATACAGTATTCTACTTCAAAGCTAATGAGTCAGAGAGTCTTTACACTTACAGAATCATAGAAAATAAGGGATGGAAGGGACCTCAGGAGGTCATCTAGTCCAACCTCTTGCTCAAAGCAGGCCATCCCCATCTAGACCATTCCAGCCAAGGCTTTGTCTAGATAGGTTTTGAAAAGCGTCAAGGATGGAGTTTCCACCACCTCTCTAGGTAACCCATTCCAGTGTTTTACTACCCTCCTAGTGAGAAAAATATTCCCAATATCTACCCTAAACTTCCTTTGCTTCACCTTGAAGCCATTGTTCCTTGTTCTGTCATTTGCCATCACTGAGAAGAGTTTAGCTTCATCCTCTTTTGAACTCCCCTTCAAGTAGCTGAAAGCTATTAAATGCCCTCTCAGTCTCCTATTCTTTAGACTAATTAAGCCCAGTTCCCTCAGTCTCTTCTCATAAGTCATGTCCCCCAGCCCTCTTACCAGTTTTATTACCCTCTGCTGGACCCTATCTAATATGTCCACATCCTCTCTGCAGTGGGGGGCCAAAACTGAACACAGTACTCTAGATGTGGCTTTCACCAGTGCTGAATAGAGGGGAAGACTCACTTGCAAGGGGGTTCTGCTGGCAACATTCCTACTGATGCAGCCCAGTATACTGTTAGCCTTCTTTGCAACACAGGTACATGCTGGCTCATATTCAGCTTACTGTCCACTCTAACCCCCAGGTCTTTTTCCCAGAGCTGCTTCCTAGCCAATCAGCCTCCCAGCCTGTACTAATACATTAAATTTTTCCTTTCTAAGTGCTGGCCTTTACACTTGCCCTTGTTGAACCTCATGAGGGTTTTTTTGGCCCAATCCTCCAATTTGTCTAGGTCACTGAATCCTAGCCCTACCCTACTTACTTCAATGGACATAAAATCAAGCTTTTGCAGCTGGGTTGAGAGCACTGACACATTATAGAGTAGCACCTATAGGGATGATTGACTTATTCTTTCCATTAAAGAACCATGTTTTCAGTTACTTTGAACACTATTATAGATCAACCGTTTAATTTGGAATTTTCTTTCATGTTTTTTTTTTTATACTTTCAGCTATATTTATTCAACAAATTCAAAAAATGTGAGAGGATAACACATTGGATGGAATAGAATAGCATTCCTTCCTGGTCATCTAAATTCAGGGCACGTGCACATGCTTCTGATATGAATGCCTTAGTACGAATGACTTAACTATAAGAGGAAAAAAATAAATACACAAAAACAGACTTTTTCTTTTCATCAGTCATGGGTTTTGGCTGAGTACTTTTGGGCTGCTACATATTCAAAAGCTGTGCTCCAATGGACCTTGGCTACTATGGCACATGTCCAGTCTGTGTAATCACTTATAGTTAGGGGTCTCCAGTACTTATGCCAAAAGTTCAGTTTCTTTAGCCTTGGAGTTTCACCCATACACTCTCTCGTGCAATTTTGGCATATGAACAACCGAAAGTGTCATATAGATGACCACATCTAGACACTTAGAAGACCAAGAAACAATAGGATGTCATTCATTGTTTTATCCATGCTGAAAAGTTATTTCAACCATTTCACTGAGTGGCTATAGCAAAATTTTGAAACAGACACCTCTTCTTTACTACTTTTTTACAAACTCCTTTAGTTCTTTGATTAAGACAAATATTCACAAATTGGCTTAGTTATATGAAGATCAAAAGAAAGGTTAGTTAGAAGCTGGCAGCTAAATTCTTTGACAATCTTGTATTCCCTGACTTCTATTCTCACACATTTTCTATATGTGGCTGGCCTCCACAGAGTAATTAAGCATGTCTTGTCCCTTGTATGGAAAGGGATGAGTAAGAGTTGTTACTGGAGTTATTCATCCTGGTTGTCAGGGGCTGCTGTGGCATCCAGAAGTTCCTGTGGAATGAGACAAGGATCCTTGGAAATAATAGTGTTCAACAAGATCAATAAAAAAACTGTTTCACTACTCCTATACAAATATGGGGCAAGTTAAGATTGAAAGGCTTACAATGCCTAACTTTTGAGTGCTTGAGTACTCAAATTTCCTTTAAGACATTCTGTCTATAATTTTATAGCATTTAATAAACAGCTACGTTACCATAAATCACTACTAACCAATATCCTATATTGAAGTGAAAAGTGTCCATAAGCAAAACTTTGTCTAAATTAACCAGATGCAATAAATGAATGACAGAAGTCCCATTTTTAAATCTGTTGAAGGTAAGATAAAGCAATTAATGGGTAAGATAAGGAAGTCTAGCAATATAGAAATAGATAAAATAAATCATACTGATACTGAGAGAGATATTGTAGCATTTATATATTTATAAAGTCTAAAAGTTATTGCTTATTTATACATGAGTAGAGTTCTTAATAATGTGCATGTCAACGAAATGAGATGCAAATTGTGGACCTCCGGAATAAAGTGATCCAAGGGATACTGATAATCTTCTGATTAAGTGCAGGGGGCTGGACCCGATGATCTTGTGAGGTCCTTTCCAGCCCCTAACAATCTATGAATCTATAAATATTGTAGAAAGGCAGTCTGTTGGTGAACAGCAAAAAAAAAACAAAAAAAACATTTATTCCTAGATCATATTTTATTGGTAAATTTAATAGAACAGCTTATCCATCTCTATCTATCCATCCAATCTCTCCATCCTGATCTCAGGAGGTCACCCAATACAGCCGCCTGCTCAAGGCATGATTATCCCTGATTTAACCAGCTAAGTGTCTGTCCAGCCTGATCCTGAATTGTTCCAAGCATGGAGATCCCACAACTTCTCTAGGTAGCCTGTTCCAATGCTTGGCTACACTAACAATCAGTAAGTTCCAGCTCATCTCCAACCTAAATTTTCCCTGGTGAAGCTTGAGGCCACTTTTACTAGTCCTGTCCCATATGGTCACAGGGAAAAAAACCAAAAAAGTCTCTGTCCTCTGTGTAATTGCCTTTAAAGTATTTAAAGACTCTTATCAGCACCCTCCCCCCGCCATCCTTCTTCTCTTCTCCAGACCAAATAATCCTAGTTCTTTCAGACTTCACTCATAAATCTTGCTTCCCAAATCCATAATCACTTTGTTACTTTATGCTCGACTCTCTACAATCTGCCAATATACTTCCTGAAGTGTGGGGCCCAGAACTGGATATAGTACTCTAGCAAAGGCCTCACCAGTGCTGAATAAAGTGGAAGACTTGCTTCCCATGGTTTGCAAGTGAAACTCCTGTTAATACAATCTAATATTGGCCTTTTTTGCAACACAAGCATGCCACTGGCACATATTCAGCTTATAGTCTACTGTAACACTCAGCTCCTCCTTTTCAGTACCATAGCATAGCCAATCTTTCCTCAGTCTGCTTTTGTGCATGCAGTTATTTCAACTGTACATTCAGTTATAACTGATGTATAGCATTACTGCTGAGATCTATTTAATTATATTCATATGAATCAGGGCTCAAATGAATACATGATTGTTTTCACTTGTGGGAACAAATAATTATTCATGTAAACAAACAGTCTGCTGTATATAAACCTTTTCATAGAAGCTTGAAGGCAAATAATGTATGGATGGTCTTTTCCCTCAACTGATTCAGTTTATATAATTTAATAGGCCAAATATACCAGGGCAGTCATAGTATTCTCTGAACTCTTTTATTTTATAATGTAGTAATCTTTTTTTCAGTGAGGTTTGTTATTCTTTGATTTGAGTTTAATTATAGATTGAACATCGTTTCTTTTTTTTCCATTTAAGTATTTTTACCTGGTTCAAATTGGTTATATGAAAACTGGATTTTGACCTTGCAAACATTTATTACAGGCAAAGTACTTGCATCTGGAAGACAACCTCAGTGGAAGTGCTGAATGGAATAAGTACTGTTTCCAGTGGGAAGTATTTCCAAGACGGAGACCTTTCTTCAGGGGATGCAACCCTCAGCAACTCTGAAGCAAAGAGTACGGTATATTCCAGTGTTGGTTGGAATGAAGAGAGCTTTCCTCATTCATGATTCTAGGCAATTCTACAGGGGTGGAGTATTATCAGAAATGGAATCCAGAAAATTTGTATTAGTCATAAAGAAGGTTTGTGGAGAGCTGCCAGCATGAACATAACGCTAATAAACTCATATCCCAGTTCATCTGAGTTTTCTACTGCTAAGATGGAACTTACATTCCCAAACCAGTGTTCAGCTGCCTAGTCCCATTGATACCTATGCTTGCTTACAGACACAAAAATAAAACAAAATAAAATGGTGCTTTACTTTAAACTTGGTGTGTCCCCACACTGAGCTCAGCACATGCCCAGAAGAGGTATTGCATTAGTTTGACTCAACTTGTCCAATGTCTGTAGAGATCAGGTGCCTCATCTGGACTTTTTTTTTTGGTGCTTTTATCTAATAGCTAATTCAATCAACTTTAGATAAAAGCACCAAAAATCCCTGCCAAAGCATGCAGTCTATACAGATGCTGCAGAGCCAGGCTGAAATAATGCACTGCTTCTTCTGGTAAAGCACATTTTTTCACATCTTTTGACCACCTGTATGCCCTAAGCACTTAAGATTCCAATGGCATGCATTCACAAAAAAGCTGCCTAAATGTCATCCTACAGCTGACAAGCAGCTATAAGTTGCTCAAGACAATGCCTTAGACTGTAAAGCAGAATTCTTAAGCTAGTGGAGAATTATCTATGCAACAGAGATGACTGATCCTGTAAGCATGATTTGGGTATATCTAAAACCTTAAATATGCCCATTCTTCAAACCAAAACAGCAGAAGTTTTTGTCCATGTTCACAAACACCATAAGAGCATTAATGTTTTGTGTGACTTTGGATGTACAAGGTAGTGGAAAATCAGATTTACAGAAATGTCATGTGCATGCTGGGCACATCTACGTGTGCCCCTGACTGCACATTACCTGCTGGCACTGCACAGTCCTGGCAGTGCATAGGTTGTTTCTGACCCTACTGCACAGTAGCAATGAGTAGCTCAGACCCTACTGCACTGTAGCAGCAGCATCATGGTTAGTGCCCGCCATCGCTACCTCACCATAGTGACAATGTACATCACCATAGCTCTTCATTACGGTGACATAGCATCTTGTGTAGATGTGCCCATCAAGCTATATTTTTCATCATAATTTTATACTTGCATACACTTGATATGTTTCAACCAGTGCACCAAATGCCTCTATAAACTCTGTGGTGAAAACCTAAATCATTGTTAGACTCCAGAATTAACTTCCACAGAAGAATGATAAAGGAAACACCCAGTTACCACTTGAAGAACACTTTTTTCATAAAAGTAACGTTTTATCATTGATATCACAATCTTTATCCTTGAGAGAAACTAACTGAAAACCTCCAGAAAGTGGGCCTGAGGACAAAAAATTGCAACTTGAGAAAATCGTGAGTTAGATTTCTCTCCACAAGTAACGATGTTCCTTTCCTTTCAAATGGTCTGATAGTTTTTCATAATTAGCATTATCTATTTCAACTCCATTTAATTTGGTCTATTACTACTGGTAACTAATTAACTAACTGGTAAATAACTTCTCTTTGCTTTACTGCCTACTTCCATTTTAAAATTATCATTTTTATTTACAAGCTGGGGTTAAACAAAATAATTGTTCTATCTGGTATTTATCATAGGGTATATCAGTTGCTATCCCAGATCTGAAGAGAGATGCTAAGCGCTCTCTCAGACACCTCTCCCAGCATTAGAGTTGGTCCAATAAAAGTTGTTATCAAACAAATGTTGAATATTAAATGTATATAGAAAGAATTGTACCCAGTATTGGCTGAGGTATCACTAGAGCCCTTTACAATGATATGTCCTTATGTCTATTGGAAATATCTTGTCTGACACAGTCTGATATAATATCTGTTTTTTCATGTCCTTATCACATTGGTTATTCTTGGTTCTTCATTAGAAATTTTTTAAATTATTCTCTAAAGTGTTTGATTCTGCATTTTTTATTACTGAATTATGTCTCATCCAGTATGATGCTCTCCCTGGAGAAAATTCATTTCTGCCAATGTTAGAGGCAGGATACTGGCTTAGATGGACCAGTATGGCCAGACTGGTCTTGCCCGGTATGGCACTTCTTACTCTAATAAATCCAATCCTTCCTATACGATACCCCATCTTCCTCTTAATAATGATTTCAACATACTTCTTTTCTACTTTTTTTTCTTACACTTATCACTTCCAAAAAGTAGCTTATATTTTTTAAATACTGCATATAAAGAGGTAATAATGAATACCTCTTTTGTGCATGCTCACTTTTTTTTTGTATTGAAAATTTAATAAATGGAACATAATATGATGAGTATTATTTTAGGTATAGATTAGACTGGAGATTATTCTACAAACCAGTAATACACTTAAAGAGCTTTAATGTTTGTGTTTCAGACATCTTCAAGGTTTGCAGTACTGCCACTTAAGTGACTTGTAATTCTCTAAATGCTGATTGTGCTAAAGAAATAAGTAAGTATAGTCAGCACTTGCATATTATTTTAATTCAGTAGTGCAGTTCCAATTTTGACTTCCAACATTTGGCTTCTTTCCATTAATCAATACAGTCCCCTAGGACAGACAACATGCAGCAAATTAAGACACTTGTGCTAAATTTAAATGCTTAGTTTTTTGTTTTAATGGTTGTGATCAGATAATGGGCCAGTTATATCTAATTTTAATAATCCTTGGTTAATAACAATTAATATTGCATACTTTTACCATAACTAATTAATCAATAAAGATATAATGGTGAAATGTACTGAACTGGGCAAGTTACTGGCACTTCATCCAAATTTGGATGATAACCTTTAAGCTGGGGGAGGGCGGGAAGATTCTGAATACGATACTTTCCTAAATACAAGCAGATTTACTGCCTGGGTCAGTGGGTGTCACTATTGCTCTACCTGAGTGTACTAAAAAGTACCTTAATTTTGCAGTCAAAAAGTAACTCTTAAAGAAGAAAACTTGATTTTAATGCTGAAGGCAACTCAATAAAATTTCATGACCAGTTTAACAAGTATTTAAGCACAACATAAGGTACAGTTAGGTGGTTTAAGGACACATTTTGACTTTCGCATATATTAGGGTAAATGTTTGTAAGGTTTTAGACTTCTAAAGTAGTTAAAATGTCTTTTAAAGAAGAAATGCATTTCCCGTCTCCTGCACATGTACAAGGAGCCCTAACAAAATGTATAAATTAATACACACAGCATTCCATGACCAAAGAGACAACTAGTAAAATGAAGTGAAGAATGGACAAGGCTATCGTATTGCAGAAAAATATCTATCCTCTAAGGAAATAGGCATTAGTGTGAGCAGGATGAAGAAATAAATAATCCAATTGACTAAATATTTATGAGAGAACTGTAACTTTGATGCATAGATCAACTCTTGTTTATTAATAGAGATGTATAAATACTGCAGAATAAAATCTATAATACACCGCTTGCTTTTTAAAATTAGCTTGTTTCACAAATGAATTTCTGCTTTTGTTTGTTTGTTCACTTTTTGGGATCGAGTTCTATTCCAGTAAAAATGTTATTGCTTATAAGTGGAAACAATGAAAGGACTATTATTTTAGAACAGGAAGATAACATATTTTAAGGTCAGATGTAGAATACGGTAATTACCATATACGGTATACAAATGAAAACGTTAAAATAGCAGAACCTAGTGCTAAAAAGCATTCCATCCATATTCCCTCAAATACAAAATTTGGTGTCCACTATTGGTGCCTGCCACTTTAAGGGCTCAGCCAAGCAACCAGCAGGTGCTTGATTGCAGTGGACATTTTAGATCTCTGGCTGCCTCTATATAAACAGAGCAGTTTGTGGCTGGCAGGCCAGGCAGAAACATTGCCTGGCTGCATGCAACATCCTGGAGATAAGGGCAGGAGCTGTAGGGGATGGTTTGGAGGCTCCCGGTCCTAGGCATGACCTAAAACTGCACCCTGCTGGGAGTAGGTAGCCTGGTGGGACTCTCAGTGGTGCAGGAGCCCCTAGGAAATGCCAGGCCAGTTACCACCCTAATGAAAGGTGGGTTGAGGTGCCTTAATAACCCTAGCTCCCACAACTGGGTGGGTTACCCCTAGTAGGGGCCAGAAGGTGGAGCCAGGAAAGAGAGTGAGGCTAGAGGCTCAGAGGCCTGACTTAGAGGACCCTCAACTGGTCATTGCTGGGGCCAGGACCAGAACAGTCAAAAGGGCCAGGGGCCCACCACACTGTGAGGGATGCCCAGAGCTGAGGGCCTGCAGTTTCTGACTGGCCTTGGAGGTAAGGCCAGGGCCTGTGTAGCCAAAGGTCCCAGGGGGCCACACCGCTAGGCAGCCCAGAATGAGGGCGGAGTGCGCCGCCTGATTGGAGGGATCTTGTTGGGGTCTAGACTGGAGTGTGAGGCCAGTGAATTTAAGAACTGTGGATGCCATCTGTGAGGCTTGGGATGTGGTGTAGGGGAACAAAGGAGCTGCAGATAGCACCCCCTGCCATCGGCCTTGGGCCCATCCATGGACCCTCAGCTCCAGCTGTCAGCATATGCAGTTGATGTGACCAAATTCCTTAACACCAAGGAAGATGTGTGGGCCCGACACACTGCCAGCAAGCCTATGAATGTGCATCCTTGGCCTATATCAACTGGGCCAAGAGTGATATCCTGCTGCTTGGAGTGTGGATCAACACGACCCCCCCTGGATTTGCCAGGGGGTCTCACCTGGTGCCGCAAAGGCCTCAAGGTCCTGGGTGTGTTTCTAGGGCCACCGAACTTCATGGCATGCAACTGAGACAGCCTTGAGGAAGGGGTAGAGGCCCACCTACAATGGTGGTGCTGGCACCTACCTAGCCTCTCCTACCATGGTCATGCCCTCATTCCAAAGAACCTGGTGGAATGAACCTGTTGTACCAGTGCGCCCTACTCAACACACCACAGGACCTAGTCAAGAGGCTCCAGTGCCTCCTGGTAGATTTTTTTTCTGGAATGGGTGCCATTGGCTCCCACAGCTGTCCCTTACCTACCTGTATCTGAGAGGTGCCAGAGTCTGGTCAACCTCGTGAGCAAGGTGGATGCCTTCTGCCTGCAAGCCCTTCAGTGACTCCTCTATAGCGAGGGGCACCTACCCTGGCAACAACCGGCATGCCAGTTCCTGCAGATGGTGCGGGCCCTTGTCTTCGACCAGGAGCCTTTCCTGTCGGACCTAATGTTCCTGAACTGGGCGGTGCTTCTTGCCTTTTCATAGATTCATAGATGTTAGGGTTGGAAGGGACCTCAGTACGTCATTGAGTCTGGCTCCCTACCCTGGGCAGGGAAGAGTGCTGGGGTCAGATGTGGCAAGGTACGAGCCTGTTGGGCCACTTTCTGCTTCCAACCCCTGGTGCACAACCCAGCCTTGAGGCCCTCCGTCCCGGGCTTGGCCTCTGCCAGCCTCATGGGCACTCTCATCCAATTGCATGTCCTCTGCCTGAGACATCTCCTTGACCACATTTTGTCAGCCTGGATCTTGCCCGAGGCCCTGACCACCTGGCTAGGCATGCACTCTGTCCACAGCTTGGGCCTTCTTCTGCAATTCATCCAGTGGGATGACCATTTCCAGGCATGCCAGGTCCCCTGTGCTGTGGATGCCCTGAGTGACACTTTTACCATGCTCCCAATCACCCTGGCCATGGATGGCGAGCTGGCTGGCAGGTCTGCCACCCTACTGACACTCCCTGCACCTCCTGACAGTGACATGGGTTGCTCCTTTGCTTTTCTGTCATGTAGAAGCCTGTATGCCTGGATGGTTCACAGCCACCATGCCCAGGTGCTGGTGGGCCACCCCGATACACCATGGCAATGGTGCCTGGGGCTGTCAGATTCCCCACCACCCCACCTGACTTGACACACCTTGTAAAAGCCAACATCCACCAAGAAGACTGGTGACCTGCAGTGGCAATTGCTACATGGCATCCGAGCCACTAGAACATTTGAATCCCACTTTGACCCAGCCGCCTCGATGTCCTGCCCCTTCTGCCCCAGGGGCATTAAGGAGAACCTCTTTTATGCCTTCCTTGATTGTCCCCACCTGCAGCTGCTCTTTGTTACTCTTGAGCCACTGCTGAAGGCACTGACAGGAGCCTCTTGGAGACCATGTACATGTGCTCCTACCTGTATCGGGCAGCTGAGCAGGGCGCCATCTCCCTGGCCAACTTTCTACTGGGTCAGGCCAAAATGGCTCTCCTCAAGAGCTGCTGCAACTGGCTTGCCAGGACTGGCTCAGAGGATGCCCTGTGCCTTTTTGGCCTCCTGGTGTGGGCATGCCTCTTGCTGGAGTTCAAGCACATTGTGCTCCAGGGGGCAGTGCCCACCTTGGAGGCACACTGGGCCTTTGAGGGAATGCTGTATTATGTGGAGGATGGCCATGTTCAATACACGATCTGATGTCATGACCGGTCTTGGTGACCAGGCAGGCTCAGTGTCGGACTGCGACTCCCAGTTCGTGCTGCACCCTGGGCCCACACCAGCCTGCTTTTTGTATTTTTCTTTATGTGAGAAGTCAAAGGGTTTGTCATGTGTATGATTGGATAGAGCAGGGTAGGAATCATTTGTTTATAGAAAGCTTTGGTCTATATGACTGTGTGACTGGTGTCCCGACTGCATAACAGCATGTTAGGCACAATGTGTAATATAGTGAAGGTGTCTGTCACGGTATGATGTTATGAATGTAATGACATGGGGCTCTTGGTTTGATGGTAATTTGTTTCTTTTTGATTTGTATATTAGACCTGGACCCCAGAGGGGCCAATTTTTTGTACCCTGAACCCCTGAATAAAATAGTTAAAAAGTAAAACGCCCTTCCTTCCACTTTGGACGCACCGGACCAGGCTCACTTGGAGCTGCCTGGGGCAATCCTGAGCATAAGACTCCCCGGCTTCCTATCTCTTTCCTTTTCTGACTCCCACCTCTCTAACGTCTCTAGATACTGTTTATCTCACTTTCTGATTCTTTTCTTGCATTTTTGTAGCTTTTCTTTCTCCCCTTTTTCTCTTCTCTTTGTCCCCACCCCCCTGTTTTTCCGGCTTCTCAGTCTGTGAGTTGCTTTTTTACAGCCATATTTCTTACTGTCTATATTCCTTTCTTTCTTTCTTTCTTTCTTTCAAGATGGCCGCCGACAGGTGAAGCCCTTCTGAGCTCCTGTAGCTCAGGTGCTTTCAGATCATTGCCCCGCACTCCCTGCCCCTCTTTTCCTGTCCCCCCCCCCCAAAAAAACCCTTGCCTCTCCCCACCCTGTCCCTGGGGACACCCTCACTGCCCCTTCCCCCACTTTCTGAGCTTTTTTCCCCTGGGCTCTGGCAGCCTTGTTTGCCTCTGCCACTACCCCAACCCTGCCCGAC